CACACATTTATTTATTTTGTGCTATAACTACAAGTAAAGAAGAAGCAGCTACAGCGATTTGCCAACGCCACATTAAGGAGAATCTAAACTACATTTATTGTTTTGTGATAAAATTGACAGAATTTGTAAGTTAAGCTTTGTTTTATGTCAGGAGTAACAAAGCACAAAGTTTATTGTGATTATTGGATGGCACACGAGCTACAAATAATGTTTACTGAAGTTTTGTTCATTTATCAACAGAAAACGGTACAGACTGAAGGATAGATCTTAGGATTTAAGAATCGATATTTACTTCATCAAAATGAACAATGATTATAATCGTGAAATAAATACTGTCAACCAGTGTTCCCTCTAAGCTGCGTGCATGCACAGCCGTGCACTTCTTACATGATGTTTTAATAGAATTTCTTGGTAAATAGCAAAGCACTGTAAAAAAAGTTTTCTCAGGTAACCTAAAATAATGTGTCATTTAGTTACATCAAGGGTCAAATCAAATACAAATAGCACATTAAAGTTAGAAGTTACAAACTTTTTGTGTGCGCGCTGTAAGGTCTGGTATAAAGAATGTTTTTGCTCAAGTGGCCGAAATGTCCGCCTAATAGAGAAAAGTTTTGCTCAACAAGAAAAAAAATTAGAGAACATTGGGAACATTGCTGTCAACCCAGGCTAGTAATGCTTGTTCTACCTGGGTCTGAGTTAGTGGCCACTGTAGTTCCTCCTGGAGCAAAAGGATCATTGGCTGCTGCTGGTCCATCTCTCTGAAAGGAAAAGGAGGAGGAAATCAAAGTTTCCCAACAAATTCAGCCAAATCTTTTAAGTCAAGGTAACAAAACACTGAAAAACTGCAATCTTAATAATGTTGGACAATTCAAAAGCTTGCTTTAGGGTTTGTATCACCGAAAAGTAGGTATAAAAAGTGATTCAAAGTGCATTCAGCAGAATTTACTGGCAGTCATTTTTGTAAAAATAAAACAAAATCTTACAAATGCTATCATAAATCAAGTCTGACAGAAGATATAAAGTAACAGAACACGTTTTAATGAGATTTCAAAGAGAGCTTAGCTCTACAGCACTTACTGCAGGAATATCTGATCCTCCAAATGGGTCGTGTCCTGTGCCAGTCGAGCTGAAGGGATCAGAGTCTCCCAGGGCATCCATTTTGGATCCGAACGGATCAGTGTCTTGGACGTTCCCACTACCGGAAGCAAATGGGTCTGGAGTGACAGCATTACTGGTCCTGGATGTGAATGGATCAGGCTCTTTTGGGCCTGTGGTGGCAGTGAATGGGTCTGAGGAACCGAAAGGATCTCCTGATGGGAAACCAACTGAAGACTGCTTGAAGAAGTTGTCTGCAGCAAACGGGTCTGTGCCTTTAAAAGGGTCCCCACCAAAAGGATCTGGAGAGCAAAACAACATTTTATAAGCCAAAATGGATTTGTGCTGTGAATGGATATTTTGCAAACACATTGCAAGACAGACAAGCAAATACTCACCTGAAATGTCAACTTTTGAGAAAGGGTCTTCAGTGAATGGATCACCTGCAAAAATAAGTTTTATATAAGTTCACCAGTTAGTCAACTACCTGATGCTTTAGTTCAAAGCAGCTTATTGTACACTTATTTCAAAGACAATCTATGGCTGCATGATTAATCTAATTAAAACATTTTTTTGGATGATTTTACTTTGTGTGCAGATCTTACTGTCAGTGAATGGGTCCGAATGGAAGAAGTCAAGACCAGGACCGCTAGGTGGGTTAGTGGGTGGCAATGTAACTGGCTGGGCAGCTTCCTTCTTCTCTGGCTCCACAGTTTCCAGCTAGATGTTCACAAAATCCATTAGCATAAACTTATTTATGATTATGATGAAATTATACCTACACATACTCACAATCTAAAACAACATGCTCTGACCAGTACTAACAATATGACCACCACATTATCCCAAAAATAAATGTAAATGATAACAGGAAGGAAAAATAAATAATAATTAATATCAATTAATATAAAAAATAATTGCAATTAGAATATTAATGGAAATGGTCAACAATTATGATTTGTCAAATTCATTCAACCTTTGGGGTGCTGGTGGCAGGCTCTTCTGCCTCAGCCTTTTCCTTTTCCTTCTCCTCCTCTACCTCTGGCTCTGGATTAGCTTGTGTTGTGCTTTCCTGAAAACAGAGTGGCATAAAAAGTCAGACACACATGAGAACCTATTTGTAATGTAATGCAAGAGTGACATTATAAATGATATACAATAAGAGGAAGTGGTTTCTGACCGTAATCCCCTGAGGCCAGGCCATAGTAGTGGAGCTGGCAGTGGATAACCCACTGTTGTAAAGGTCAGAGCTATAAAAGTCAGCTTTAGGCTCTTGCTCCTCTGGGCTGGTGGATGGCTCTTCTGCCTCTGACCCGAGCTGCTCCTCTGTGACTCTGAGCTCCTGCAGCTCATCCACAGATGACTGCTCCTCTTCATCCTGGACTTTGTCCTCTTTGGGTTTCTCTGGCGGCTGTGCTGTGGGTTGAGGCCACTGCAGTTGCTCCAGCTGCTCAGAGGAGGGCGCTGTTCCGTTGACGAGCACCGGCTCCTCCAGGATTTTCCAAGTAAGCCTTGCAGTCACTTCTCTCGCCTCCGTTTTAAACTCGGCCAATCGCTTCTGTTCCTTCAATAAATCCCATATAGTGTGTGAAAGAGAGAGATATTTCAAGCAAGAAAAATCAAACAGTTGGTGACCAGGAATGGAAATAAAGAACAGAAAATATTCAGCGAGAAAAAGCAGAAAAACATCAGCAGAAAAAAGTTTGGGAAATGGATGGTAATAGAAAGGATTTATTTTTTCCAATAAAAAAAAAATGTCACCTCATTCGCCATTAAAATTAACATATATTTATAAAACAGATAATTCAGGTTCTAAAATCTGATTGGATGAGCAATGTTTGAAGCCACTGAAAAATAGAAAATATACACACAACTTGCACAGTTAAAATTATAATATAAATAATAATAATAATAATCATTATTTTTATTTTCATCACGTATTACGATCATAATACATTTTTATTATATGTTGACCATTGGTGTCTTTAATCAGTGCTGCTGCCAAAAAAAAATGGAAACATTTATTTACTCAAGTAAAATCACTGTAAAACATGGCTTTATTTTACTATGGGGGAAAAGCGGGGTAAAATGTGTCTACCCATCAATAAAAAGAAGACTTCAGGAAGAGTTCATGCAGATATGAACAAGTAAAGATAATTTAGAAACAGGTAAAAAGCTCACTAACCTGAGCAATCTGTGTGTGGGATTCTTTAACAGCATCCTCAAGGGGGCAGAGTTGAGCACGGGCAGACTGAACTTTCTCTCCCAGTTGACGCGTCTCCTCCTGCAGGTGGAGCAGTTCTTCTCGGGCTCTGGTCAACTCCTCCTCATAGTCACCAATTCTCTGCTCCTGCTCGGAGTGCTCCACCTGCAATGACTGGATCTGAACACACATACACACACACAGAGACAGGTGAAAAAGTGCAGAAAGGACAATAAAAGATCTGAGATCAGCATACTTGTTGCTTTTAAAGAAACGACAGTGAGAATGCATTTGTAGCCATTCAGATGGAATGGACTAAGTGAAATTGGTGTGAATTCTGCTGGACTGTGTCTCCCTTGCTCTTCCACTCTTTTCTTTCTCTGGTCATATACAAATTTGCATTTGAAAACATCACGCAAAATAGCATGTGATATTAGGCTTAGTGCGTCCAAGACTCATTCAAAATAGTATGCAAAGTTGCAGAGTCATGGAATGTTTTAAGTGGATTTTTGAAATCAGTGCATAGTTTTTGGGTTGATATAACCCACAATACAAACACTGATATTGCCTCTTATATACATAGGCTTCATTTCTCTCTCTCGCTGTGTCAGTCTCATACCAGCTGGCTTTCCTGGCTGCACTGTTGCTGTATGAGTCTGAGCTGCTCCTCTAGAGAGCGTTTCTGCTCGTCCAGCCTCTCCAGCTTCTCCTGCACCTCCTGTCGATCTGCCTGCAGGTGGCTCAGCTCCTCCGAGCCCTTCTGAACCTCCTCCTGCAGGTCCTGAGAAAGAGAGAGAGAGTTTGTGTTGAGAGGCCTTTCAACACATCTTTATCGGTCTATAATAAACAAGACTTCATCAACACTGACAACAGTGCAGAGAGCTCATGCAGCTCTTAAAGAGAAGATAAAAAGCATTAGGGGGCAAGAAGATACTGAGATACTGCGTAAACCAGTTATAATGGCACATCGGTCAGCAAAGCCAAAGTAAACAGAAATGAAATCAGACTGCAATTATGTGCTCAAAAGTAACACAATGGCTTCACTGATAGAATCATCTCATCCTCAAACAAAGAAATGACACCTTAGCTTATACACAGCAGCTTTCACTTCTCAACAGCTGTTCACTCACAGAAGTGAAAAGAACATTATACATAGAACAAATTAAATTCTGAACCTTGTAAAAACTGAAAGGGAAAGAAAGAAGCTGGAAACAGAAAGCACAAACAATGAAAATTGCAATGTTAGCCTTGCAATGTCAACCAGGGCCCTGTCCAGAATGGCGCACTTAAAGTGGACTTGCAGTTTCATGGCCTTCACTTTCGTGTGTCCATGAAATTAACAAGACCAGCACGGGCAGACTGAACTTTCTCTCCCAGTTGACGCGTCTCCTCCTGCAGGTGGAGCAGTTCTTCTCGGGCTCTGGTCAACTCCTCCTCATAGTCACCAATTCTCTGCTCCTGCTCGGAGTGCTCCACCTGCAATGACTGGATCTGAACACACATACACACACACAGAGACAGGTGAAAAAGTGCAGAAAGGACAATAAAAGATCTGAGATCAGCATACTTGTTGCTTTTAAAGAAACGACAGTGAGAATGCATTTGTAGCCATTCAGATGGAATGGACTAAGTGAAATTGGTGTGAATTCTGCTGGACTGTGTCTCCCTTGCTCTTCCACTCTTTTCTTTCTCTGGTCATATACAAATTTGCATTTGAAAACATCACGCAAAATAGCATGTGATATTAGGCTTAGTGCGTCCAAGACTCATTCAAAATAGTATGCAAAGTTGCAGAGTCATGGAATGTTTTAAGTGGATTTTTGAAATCAGTGCATAGTTTTTGGGTTGATATAACCCACAATACAAACACTGATATTGCCTCTTATATACATAGGCTTCATTTCTCTCTCTCGCTGTGTCAGTCTCATACCAGCTGGCTTTCCTGGCTGCACTGTTGCTGTATGAGTCTGAGCTGCTCCTCTAGAGAGCGTTTCTGCTCGTCCAGCCTCTCCAGCTTCTCCTGCACCTCCTGTCGATCTGCCTGCAGGTGGCTCAGCTCCTCCGAGCCCTTCTGAACCTCCTCCTGCAGGTCCTGAGAAAGAGAGAGAGAGTTTGTGTTGAGAGGCCTTTCAACACATCTTTATCGGTCTATAATAAACAAGACTTCATCAACACTGACAACAGTGCAGAGAGCTCATGCAGCTCTTAAAGAGAAGATAAAAAGCATTAGGGGGCAAGAAGATACTGAGATACTGCGTAAACCAGTTATAATGGCACATCGGTCAGCAAAGCCAAAGTAAACAGAAATGAAATCAGACTGCAATTATGTGCTCAAAAGTAACACAATGGCTTCACTGATAGAATCATCTCATCCTCAAACAAAGAAATGACACCTTAGCTTATACACAGCAGCTTTCACTTCTCAACAGCTGTTCACTCACAGAAGTGAAAAGAACATTATACATAGAACAAATTAAATTCTGAACCTTGTAAAAACTGAAAGGGAAAGAAAGAAGCTGGAAACAGAAAGCACAAACAATGAAAATTGCAATGTTAGCCTTGCAATGTCAACCAGGGCCCTGTCCAGAATGGCGCACTTAAAGTGGACTTGCAGTTTCATGGCCTTCACTTTCGTGTGTCCATGAAATTAACAAGACCACAGAATGTCCCGTTGGACATTTTATGATCTGTCTTCACGGCCACCATGCTGCCTTATGCCAAACCTACAATAATGCAGACTTCATAGCTGAATATTACCCAACAGCCCATGAGGGAAAATGTAGACATGTAGGAGGACTGTGAGGCCTGAGGGTGCCATCTGGAAAAGGGTCATAAAGTCTGGTCCACACTGCAGATTATTCTGGCCAAGAACTACACACTTAAACAGGAAGAGATGTCTGAGCATGTTAAGCAACCAATAAATTAGTTCTGATTTCGTGCTTTTTAGGGGCGGGATTATTTGAAATAGTTTATACAACAATAAAAGACCAATGTGGAAAAAATATAAAACAACACTTTACTTTAGTGCCCTTTTTACAAGTTACATGTACTTATTATAGTAATAACAGTAAATTATGCATAATTACATGCAACTAACCTAAACCAAATCCTAACCCTAACCATATAGTAAGTACGTTATTAATAAATATTACTCAATACTTAATTATATAATTACACTGTAACAAGGACAACTTAAAAAATAAAGTGAAACCAAAAATAATAATAATATAATATAGCTGACATATCTCAGAGTACAAAGCAAAAACAAAAATAAATAAATATAGTTAATTAAACTCAACTGAAAAAAAATAAAAAATACAATACTTTTCAAAAGTTTGGGGTCAGTAAGTCTTTTACGTTCACCAAGGCTTAATCAAAAATACAGTAAAAATAGTACTATTGTGGAATCTAATTACAATTTTAAAAAGTATTAATTTCTTAAATAGAATAAAATAATAATAATAATAATAATTAACATCATCATCATCATCATCATCCTGGCCCTGAACCTTTGATTGGTAGTGCAAGTATAACATTTTACAAAATGAGAAGTCTTTGATAAAACAGAATTAGCAAATGGGTACGGGTATATATATTTTTTAACATACAAAAAGGGTAGAGCCAGTCAAATAAATTGATACTGATGTTCAGTGATTCATGCTATTTTTGTGTGCAAATCTCTCTAACTCTAGCACTCTCTATTCTAATTCTATTCTTTTTAAAAAAAACACTAGCTTCTCTAATCTTTTTGTATTCTATCTTTTTTCTTTTTATTATATAATAAAAAAAATAAATAAAAAAAAACCTTGCTACGAGTACTGCGAGACTTAACCGAGTTAACCGAGACTTGTTATAGCACTTGCATATCATTGCTCTCTTGTTGATTTTGATTGCTTCTATTGTCCTCATTTGTAAGTCACTTTGGATAAAAGCATCTGCTAAATGACTAAATGTAATGTAAATGTAAATTTGTCAAATATAAGAAAAGAGTCAGATCAGAAAGGAAATGAAAGAAAAGGACCTACAATGATAACAAAAGACAACCATGTCATTTCCTTTTCACCTTGAGATGCTACTGTAGGAGTGGGTCCTAAAAATAACAGGTCTACAGCAGCAGAACTGAATAACCGCTCATGGTGTAGAAACCTTCACACGTCTAATACACAAATGTCCAATCAGAGGCTGCGCTGGGAGCCGACAGCCCCCGAAATAGAATATATTCATCATCCTAGGGTTTAAACACAGCAGAGGCTCAAACTAAAACTTTGCACACATTCTTATTTAATTATTCAGTGCCTGGAGCTGCCTACCAGCACTGAGTGTTTCAAGGCTAATCTATTAAGAGCCTAAACAAATACTGAATACATTCATAATTTGTGAGAGGCCCTTGCCTCTGATAGTTTACAATATTGATTTTTAATTTTCTTAATGTTGCACTTTTGCATAGGTGAGATCGTTAAGAAGTACTTATTTTCTTTGAGAGGACAACGTATAAGCCATATGGGTGTTTTTGGTTTAATGGACATCAACTGAACTGCCCTATTAAGACTGCAGCAAGAGAGAGATCCATTTTAATTATGTTACTCATACAGGTAAGAGATCACAAGTGTCATGGGCACATTTTCAGATTCAAAAATGAAAAGAAAACAGCAAATCAGCATGATAAGTGGCCTTGTGTGATGACAGGAAAAGAGAACCCTAGAGAGCGGGACCAGCTGTGCTATCAGTACGCCATCTAATATCCATAGACACACACACACAAATCAGGTGTCTATTCCTGTATTCTTACACACACACACACACACACACACACACACACACACATACACACACACAAACACTATTGTTTTTCTGGCACATTAGGAATCCATCTGTCAATACATTTTAACATTATAACACTTTAAAATAAATGACATATTAAAAGACTAACCTGAACACCTCTGAATCTGTACGTGGCATCTAAATCAGCAGTCTAGAGCATCTTGCAGTCAACAGAATGGCTAATTTTCAGCTACATACACAGGAAATTGAATTATCATACAGTGGGAGAGAGCGAGTGAGAGGGAAGGAGGGAGCTCAGATCTCGATGGAAATGAAATAACACCAAATTTATGAGTCAGGAAGCCAGTGCAGATATACATTATAGACCTTGAACTTCTTTCAACTCTGTAGACAGGCAGCGAGGAGAGAACCAATCCACCATGAGCAGAGTGGACAGACAGATGATAGGGAGGATAAAATAGACAGAGAGGGAGCCTTTGGAAAACAGCTGGCTTCTTTTCTCCTTTATTGATCCAATAAGTGGTCAGTAAACTCTAGACGTTATGATGTATGAAACTTTTTTAAAAAACTTTCAGCTGTCTTTAAACAACTAATATATAAAAGATTCAAAATAAAAATATAGAAATAATAGTTTTAAAAAGTAATATAAAAATGATTCAATATAAAATAAAAAATAAATATTAGCTGCCTTTAAACAACATAAAAATTATTAAAAAAAATAAATAAAAGAGATAAAATAAGAAATATTAGCTGTTTATAAAAAACTAATATAAATGATTCAAAATAAAATAATAAAATAAAAATATAGAAATATTAGCTGCCTTTAAAAAAATTAATATAAAATGATTAAAAAAATTAAAATGTATAAATTTTAATGTAGCCATTTTTATATTTTTTAGTATAGAAATTATTCAAAATAAAATAAAATAAAAATTATTTCAGTACATTGTGGATTTTTAAGCTATCAGTCTATGCATATACATCTGAATGTCTCTGTCAGGTCAGGATCACCAGTCAAATAAAAACAACAAATTTATTTCTGTTCAATTTCAAAACCACTCGTACCTGGACTTCGCTGGTCCTCTGTCGTATAGTTTCCTCCCTCTCTTTGATGTCCTGTTCCACCACACTCTTCTCCCTGAAAGACCAGCACAGACATGAGTATTTAATCACAGTGGCGACGGCGGGTACAGACAGCCAGCCGCCTGGAACAGGATGGACAGCATCTCCTTCCAGCACCATCTCTTCATCTGCTGCTAGAACTTGTATGTGTGAGAGAAGAGAGGCTGTCCGTGAGTGAGTGTGTCAGAGCTGCACATGAGCAGATGGTTTTCTGAACGTCAGAAAGAACGGGAGGAGGGAAGCATGGAGAAAGAGAGAGCGATGGGGGATGTGGGGTTGGAATACATTAGAGGTGTTTTCACTCATCCCGCTGTCTGTATCTTTACCTTCAGGTCATACAGGTTAAATTAGCAAACAAATATATTACAACTACATACATTTTCTGGATGCTAGTGCTAGACCAATATATTAATTGTCTGATGTCTAGCTAGAGTTGATTAAAATTTATCATTTTAAATTTTAAATTATTCCTGTGATGGCAAATCTGAATTTCAGTGTCACATGATCCTTCAGAAATTATTCTAATATGCTGATTTGTTGAAAACCATCATTTTTTTCAGGATTCATTGATGAATGGAAAATTTCGGTTTGAAATATAAATCTTTTGTAACATTATAAATTTCTTTACTGTCACATCATCAAATTAATGCATGAATAAAAGCATTTCTTTATTAAAAAAAAAATGCATTCTTGCTGAATAAAAGCTTTTTTTCTCAAAAATATTAATAAATGACCCCCCCCCCCCCTCCCATCTATAT